AGATCACTATACTATTAGCTCGAGACATTAGCTCTTAATGTCAAAAGAGCTGAGTCAAAAAGCTAGGAGTCTCAGCAGAGGCTGGCTTTTTATAGTGGCAGATTCGGCTCTATGACATCAGAGGGTGGAATCATATCTCAATTCTGGACTCTCGAAGCAGCATGGAGGAGATGTAATATCTGACAAGCTTGATTTTCAATCTTAGGCTTATGTCGTGACTGCAGAAGACCTTTTTCATTTTGAAGAATGCTGTTCAAGCTTTCTCTATCCTTGTTTTTACTTCAGTGGTCATGTTCCAGCTTTCCAGTGAATGACTAGACTGAAAGAATTTAATACTCTACTGCAGCCAGGGAAAACTCCATCTACTCAATTTAGTCTACATCCTGTATTGTATAATTGCTACTTTGTGAGCATTATCTGAAGGTGCAGAGGCTGGTCAAACTCCAAATGTATGTCATCCTGAAAGAACACTTTTCTTCTGGCTTTATGTATAAGCATCAGTTAAAATCAGATTGTCGATACATTGAGTCATTTGTGCAGACGTGCCATCAGTAATTAGCTATCTGTAATGCTTGCTCATGTATTTAACCCCAATTCTAAAATTATAAACAGTTCCCTCCATGTGTCTTGGAAGTCCTGGGATTGTCCTTTTTTAAGAGTGTAATTCTTCATACCTACTTAACTCAGATAACTTGTGTTACCTTTTAGAACATAGAGAACAAATATTTTCAAAGACTAGACTTGTTTCTTATATTATCTAACTGTCATTTTTAAAGTTTCTTCATCAAAAAACAATATTTGGTTTCTTATAGGTAGTTAATAGCCAGCAGTTATACTTTACAAACAGAGGTAGTATTCAGCAGGTTCTGACCAGTTCTAGAGAACTGGTAGCGGAAATTTTGAGTAGTTCGGAGAACCGGCAAATACCACCTCTGACTGGAGATTTTACAGCATCCTTCCCCTGCCACACCCATAGAACTGGTAGTAAAAATTTTTGAATCCCACTACTGTTTATAAAAATCCTAATTTTTTCAGTAGTTACAATTGGGTAGTTATATTGTCCCCCTGTTCATAATAAATAGAAAACTTATGTAATTTCTCCCATAGCAAATTAATGAGAAAAATGTCAGAATTAGCTGCAGCTTTTTCTATACTAGAACATTTTGATTTTTTCTATGATGGGAACACCACTTGCTATGCTCTGAGGATTTGTTTCAGTTGAAATCCCCTATAGAACTAAGTATTTGCTGCAATACATTCTAAAGTAATGTTTGGTCTGATAAAAGATATTGTCTTTCCTCTGTGCTAAGAATCTGCTGCCATCTAGTGCATCATTAATATATACAAGTATGTGAGAATCTGGTCTGCTTCAATAAAATACATTAGCACTTTAAAGAGGATTTGGAGCTAACAACTTGACACAGAAAGTATCTTCCAGGTCTAGACATTTTCAAAAAGTTAAGTACCCACTCTGTACTGCAGCCCAAATTAATGTATTTATTCCTGCAAGGTGAGAACCAAGTTTTCCTTAAACCAGGTGCCTTCAGAATATTTGAGGCAGACTTCTATTAGTTCCAGCTTTTGGAAAACTTGAGGATGGGAGGGAATATATACCAGTGATCCCTAACCTTTCCAACTTTGCAGGCTGAGGTAGGGGGGCAACGACAAGAAATGGTTCTCTGTGAGTGGCAGACGCATGCAGCTCCATTTGTGTGAACGGCAGAATGGAGTTTTGCACACGTGGGAGTGCCTGCCACTCAAACAAATGGAGCTACGTGTGTACATGCTCGCCCATCGCTTGCATGGTTCAGTTCCTAATAGGCTGCAGTCCAGTACTGGGCTGTAGCCCAGGACTTTGGAAATCCTGATATAGACCGAATCATCCAAAGGCCACCATTTTGGGAAAGGTCAAACTCATGGAAACTGTAAGATGAATGGAACATGTCCACAAGGACATCCTTGCAATAAAATATTTCTCCAGAATTAGACGACCATTATACTGCTTTGATGCAACTGACAGATATGAAATACAAAAATCTGGGTACATTAGATTACATATTATAACTAAGTTAGTCTTCTTTAGTCTGAGTTCTCCAGTTGTTAATCTACAAGCTTCCAGAATTCTTAGTTACTGACCATGCTGGCTGTTATTCCTTATATTTCCTTGAAGGCCACTGATAGAGGAAAAATCAGAAATCATTTGGTAGCATCTTTCCAGAATAAAGGTGTGGGTTTTCCTGAATTGTAGCTTACTTCGGCAGATAGCAGACTATTTTGTTAAGTCTGAAAACATGCTACCAGACTTATGATTTTGGGGTACCATCATTCTCCTTCTGCAACAGTAAGTTGTTCCAGATCTGCATCTTCAAAACAGTTGTTCTAGACAAGGGAACAATGATAAAATCCACAGGGAACTGAATGCAGTGCTTTATTCTAACAGTTACATAAGAGAACCTACTGAGGTGTCATTTCAGGGTCACTTACAAGATGCATATACTATTTCATGGTGTGATAACCATGGCACTTCTCAAATTCTGTTCTCATAAACTATCCTGCATGCACACAGCTCAGTTTGACATTGTTGCATTGTTCTCTGTTCTTGCTGGATTAACAAGATTTAAAAATGCATTTCTAATCTTCGCAAACTCACTTGGCAAATTGTTAGAGATGCCTTAAAATGGAGAAGGAAAAAATATGCTAAGAAAGTGACCCATATAGGAAATCCCCAAGTGAGACAAGACTTAAAAGTGCAGGTTTTCCAAACTCATACTTTCAGAGAAAGTAGTGTATATGCAGCATTAAATCTGGACTGGACTTAACATGAATACATTGGAATGATTAAGGTGATCATATGAAGAAGAAATGCAAAGTGTTTTGGGCTTATCCTCAATCATGTCAAACACCATATAATGAAAAGTACCTTCAAACAAATAAAAGGAAAAGAGTCTTTGAAGATCAATAAACAACTTACCACTGCTCCTGCATCTCTACCAAGGACAAACTGAACCATTCACTATTTGCAAAGGGAACACATTTTCAAATTTTTTTCAATCTGCAAACCCCACTGGAAGGCCAGCCCATACGTTTGGTTACACGTTTTTGTTTTAGTTAGCACCTGTGCTGTCTCCTGACGGGTGGGGGAAGATATCAAAGCACAGATAAAGCATGCATCTTCTTCCTATGCTGCAGTCCAAACAAAAATAATCTTGCTGGAACTATTCAAGCCTTTTGCCTAAACAGTTGCAGAAATCTTTTCTCCAGCAATTTCGTCTTAACAGATTACAGTAGTATGTTTTGCCAAAAGATTAAAGCTTCTGGTTTTCAGAAGCTGGAGATTACTATCTATTTGCTGATATTTGCATATGATCACAAGAAGCACCACCTTAAATTTCCTGACATGGGAAAGGGAGAAAATGCCAATGAAATCAGTTTTGTTGTCAAAACTAGCATATTTATAAGCTTGTGTTAAAACTATTTCTCAATACTGAGGGCAAGTTATCAACAATAGCATCAATTGTAGTTTAATTTGCATCAAATTGAGTCATAATGTATTAGTGCCAATTTACACAAGTATAGATGAAATTCTGCCTATGATTTTTCTTAAAATAAGCAAATTTCTGTGCTTGATAGCTATACAGCATTACAGAAAGGCAGAACATTGGATTTGCAGTTCCATGGCAGAAAACTGAAACTCATCCCATTAAAGATTCTGACTCTATTAAGCACAGTAGGTTGCAGACCTACTGAGCCTTTTTTGCAATTCAAGTCTTCCATTGATGAAATAGCTGCCTTGAGACACAGTTCCTTTACTTTATGGTTATAGCCAACTAAAATTCTTTTAATGACAATTTATAGGACAATTGGTTGTATACTTGCTTTTGCTTTGGCCAGATTTTACAGTTCTGATTAAGGATTACAGACTGTGACATTTCTGGACTTTAAAAGAGGCACACTAGCTTTAAAAGAAGTACAATTCAACATCCATACTGAATGGGTAACAATTCTGCTTCTGTGAGCAATACAGCCCTTATGTACAAGGACACCTTCAGAATGCTGCAAGTGCTTTCAGCTAGACTGTTTGGAGATGAGCTGTTTCCAATATAGAATCAAGAGGGCTCTTTAAACACCATCTAGGACATGTCACTAGCCTACAATACTGCCTTCCCTGCTCGCAGCTCTGAGTCTGCAAAGTTATGGTCTGAACAGCCCCTTACCCAAGTTCATTCCATATGGCCAGAAAGGTAGATCAGGCTGTCCTGATCTGAGTAAATCAGACAACTAAGCCAGCTGGACACATTCTAAGCCAGAAGATCAGGCTTTATTATATAAGCCAAACACATCTCAGTTTGATTTTGTTTTAAAATCAAAATAAATAAATCAGGCTGGGAGGTAATAGGAAGATCCAGAACGGAACTGGGCCAGAACAGACAAACTCCTCTCTCACCAGTCTCTAAGTTTTGGCAAAAGTTAGGCACACCAGCATTTTTATTTCTTTTCTCACCATAACGTCACTTGAAGTAATCATACAACCACACCCTTGAAAGCCTAAGTGTCTCAATGGTAGAAATTGCTTGGAATGTGCTGCTTGCGTTAGCAAAGCAACACAGATACATATAAAGTCTTCATTAGGTAGCTCACCTCTTGTGTGGGCTGTGCGGCTGACAGCCCACACAAGAGGTGGCATGACAGAAGCTGCCCTATTAACTAGATGGAACCCATGTTGGATATATAACACTGAAGGCAGCAACCAGGAATCTCCTGTTTTTTTCTGGGTATGGTCTGTGTATGGTCTGAACATGATTCAGAAGTACTCTGGAGCTGGCAAGAACACAGCTCTTCTCTGCTATTCCTTAACCTCGCCTATCTTTTTTTTTTTCAAGGATCTATGCCAGATTGAAAAAAGAGCACTCAACTCACTGAGGATAATCCTCCTCTTAAAGAAGTCACATCTTTGTCTCAAGCTTGTATGTGAAAGCTTGAAAAAGATAGGAGGCTTTAACAAACCGTAGCAACATACTGGGCTTGTGCAAGATCTGAACCATTTCTTGTAAATGATTTTCAAGACATGCACAGTCTTTGTGTATGCGTGTACTGTTGGAGGTATGGAATGCTGATATAGCAGAGGATCATATCATTTAGAGGTTCAGGAAGTCAAAGCAGAACACAGAATGAAAAAGCAAAACTACATGTCAAGTCCAGAATGGGAACTACTGGATGCAAGAGAAGATCTTTGGCCAAGAATGTCTTCTGCTGTTGTCCTCTGCCAAAGCAGTGAGGTACATTTTATTGTAGGCAGACAACAGCAGTTACTTGGAAGCCACCATCAGTTCCTGAACGAGTAAAAGGAGCTCATTAGCAGTCCCTGCCACAAAGGATAAATGTGCTTCCATTGCCCAGTGATGTTTCTTGAGCTCTGGATTTTAGGTGGATGAGAGGGAACACCAGCACAAGTAAAGCCAATCTACATTTTCCATTGTGTGCTTTAATTAAGTAGAAATTTTCAGATTTAGGTGGAATCTCTTCAGTGCTCTTAGAAGGCTTCTACCTTAAGAATCTTGTTTTAGATAGAAAAGTATGTGCTGAAAAGCCAAGGAAACTCGGCGCCTGGGAAGCCTCCAAAAGACACAAGATAGGGACAAACCAAACTGGGAACACTCACAGAATGGATGTTGGGAACTACTTCCCAACCTTTTTAATCTCTCAAGTGTAACTGATTTCACCCATCAAAAATGTAAGACAATATGAGTTATTTCCCCAATCAGAAGAGCACACAATCTAACCTCTGCTTACAGTTTATGCCCATAATACTTAAAGTACCTTACGTATAAATATTTCAGCAAATAACATGTGTATGTATGTGTATTGACCCATGTATCCATATGTAGAGAAACCCTTGTGCATAATAGAAACCATGGCTGAAAAATTATTTGTGACTATGTCAGTGGCATGACACAAGTTATGATCCAACTTTCTTCAAACTAAAGAATTATACAGGCCAAAAATGGATTTTCAGACTTTTAAAATTTGTCACTCCCATATACACAAGTACTTCTTAAAATATTGTTATATCCATAAGTTAAATCCTGTGAAAGAATTATATCTTCTAAATTAAATTAGTGTAAAATAAAAGTTACACACTTTTGCCTAAAATTCAGGGGGAAATGGGATAATGAATATAGAGTGGGGGAAAAAATTCTATTCAAGAGACAGAACAGAATCTCTAATGAAGTAATTTTTACTGGTGTATAAAATGACAAAACAAAGAGAGAGCTAAATTTCTTAGCAGGGACATTGGAACCCAATGAATTTTCAGATTTTTTAGGTATGTTCTTTTCTAGATACTGAGTCAGAGCCAAAAGCTAGATGAAATTGAAGGCCCGTATAGTTATGGTTATGGTGACCATGTTAAAAAAAGATATATTAGATGCCAAGATTCAAACAGGCCCTCATCCAGGATGTGATTTGAATTAGTAAGAGTTACAGTTTGATAAAACAAACACCTAGGTCTGTGCCTTGCAGATTATCCTGCTTCCTTCATTAAAAGAAACAAGATTTCCATAAAATATCCTCAAAGAGGTACATCTAGTGAAGACAATACTAATTGTTAAATAACAGCAGTAAAACAGTGTGAGCCCAGGATTTTCAATGTCAGAGATATGGAATATTGTGGAAAGGTAATATTGTCACCAAAATCAAGTTCAATACCAGCTCACACGCACCTTGAATAGTGCAATGGGGGATGAAAATCATAATTTGTCACAAAGCAGTGCGAGCTCCAGATTAATTTTGGGATTAAAGTCAAGAATCAGGCATTAACTAGAATCCACCATACCACCCACTACCAAGGGTTATTTGGAAGGCCAATATTAGTCCCTTCGAAGCTCTCATCCTGGAGCAATGGAGCAAGGTAAGCCCAGGGGTTTGTGCAGGAGTGAATCCAGAAGATGCAGCAACCCTCAGAAACCTTAACACAAATATTCAGACAGGGATTGTTTTGATGGGGCACTTCTTTTAACAGCAGGAAGAGGTTAATAACAAGCTCCTTAAGTTAGCTTACAAGTCTATAGTTAAAGACACAGAAAAGAAATGATAGATAGAAACACCATAAACACAGGGTGTTGGGACAGAACTAAGGTCCAGATGCATCTAAGACAAGCCCTTGAAAGAGTCGAGGTTGAAGGCCGTGTCCAGCAAGCGTTGCAGTTCGGTTAAGTGATTCTTTTTGTTTCCTGTTGCTGGGGCAGCAGCAGGTTCTCGGCCAGCATACCTAGAGGGAGAAAAGCAGACAGACAATTGCTTACTTGTAATTGCTGCTTGTGCTATTTTTTTTTTTAAAATTTATTTATTTATTTATTTATTTATTTACCTACCTACCTACCTCCTACCTACTTACTTCCTGTATATGGCATATAATGATGGACTAGAAATATATTAACATTTCACCTAGATTAGTAAAACACAATAAAATCTACATGTTAAAAGATCTGGGTTCAAATACCAATGTCTAGCCCATCTAACCATTGAAGTGTAGCATCGTTTATATTAAAAAAAAATCGTGGACTATATATAACTTCAACTTACAGCTAATCACAATATGATCTACAATTTGACTCCAGTCACACTGAGGGGAAGATGCTAGGCCTCATTTATACAGAGAGTCCTGGCAGATGCCACGTGAGATGAGAATCCTATTGAAAACTATCCATTGGTGACGTGGTAGTTCAAAGCCTGGCATCCTTTTTTGTGTGGGATCATCTTCCAAAGTCTGGGTGTTCAGTGACCCATTTGGCTTTCCATTGGGAATCAATGTTAAATCGTGCTTAAATTGTTAAATTTGACTGGTATGTACAGATTTTAAGGGAATGTTTGTGCCCAAAAATAAAGCCTGGGCTATTGAGACTTTCTGTGTCAGCATGTTCTTTTCTTCTTTTCCTAGAACAGACCACTCCTGTGCTCTCACTGGAATCAGACTGATTGTGCCAGAGCAATTATATAAACCTATTGTCAGCCTTCAAGATTTCCTTCCTTTGCTTTGCATCTTTCGGCTGTCATAAGTAACAGGGGGAGGAGGGGGGACATAGTTATGGGAAGCGAGCTGAAGGTTTTACAAAAAAGAACTGTATAAGTTGGGGGGGAGTTTCTTATGTTTCTTTCCTATGCTATGCGCAAGCGCTGCTCTTTATCAAAATATGTCCAGGTCAACGGACAGAGGCCTCATCACCACCTGGAGATGCCCACATGACGTTATATACAACTTTTTATCGAATGGACAGTTTAAACTATTATGGGTGGGAACGTTGCCATCACTTTGTACACACATTCATTTACACATTCATTTTCTCAGATTCAGAATCCTTTGATGCTACCACTTGATTGGTTCTGGAAGGGATAGCTGCAAAATGGATGGTGACTTTGCATAATGATAATGCTCCCCAGCTGATGAATTATGATCTGTTCATGACAGCATTGTGTGCCAGATTTGAAGACCCACTAGCTGAACATAAGGCTAGGATTAGGATGAAAACCATAAATTGGGGCGGAGATCAGTGGCCCATTACACCCAGGAATTTAGAGAGCTGGCGTGTCATATTTGAGGCTGGTCCCAGGGAGCCTGATAGAAGCTTTTAAAGATGGGTTAAACAAAAATGTTTATCAGAGCTGCATCGCCAGAAGGGACCCCAGTGAGCTGCAGCTGTGGTACGTGCTGGCAGCAGAAATGGAAATTGATCTGACCCAAAACAGACACAGGGGTGGCCTTGGTTGGAGAAAATCATCCCCCCCCCTCACTCCTCGAGAAGCCTCAAAGCCTCAAAAGGGAGGGCCGGCGGCAAAGCCCAAGACTACTGCATGCTTTCGATGTGGGAAGGAAGGTCACCGGGCTGTAGACTGTCTACCAAGATGGAGAAAAAGCGGGTGCTAGAAGGAGGAAGAAAACCTGAAAAAACTCCAGTCAAACCTTGCGAAACAGCTCTTAAAGCCGAAGAGGTTGTAGAGATTGCCCCTCCGAAAGGAGAGGAGCTGGGAACTCCAATCTCTTCTGAAGAGAGTGAATCCAAATCGGAAGACGACTCGCTGGTAAGTCCAAACAAGGGCCCTATGACCATCCCAGTGAGATTAAGGCTACCCACGTTGGGAGCCCAAGAGGAAACGTTGGCCTTGTTAGACTCAGGGTGCACAAGGTGCGTAATCAGCTCAGAAGTTGTAGAGAAAATGGGTTTAAGGCTAAAGACTTCTAAAATGCCCATAGCCTTTTGCCAACTGGATGGATTGGTAGCCGGGGGTGGCCCTACACATTTCATAACAGAACCAGTAGAAATGACAATGGGGAAGCATAGAGAGACTTTGTGTTTTATTGTTGCCCCTGGGATGGAGTGCCCCCTACTACTGGGTTTGCCCTGGCTCCGGAAATGGAACCCCCAAGTTGACTGGAGGAGAGGATCACTGCATATACATACTGACCAACCTCCAGAAGGGGAGGGGCAATCTCAACAGAAACCCCCGAATCCCACAGAGCTGGCCTCCACTGGCACCGAGAATCTGAGGGGAGAGGAGAAAATTCCTGAAGAATATTGGGACTTAAGGTATTCAGTGAGAAGGCCTCGGATGAGCCCCCCCCCCCCCAATCGCTCAACAGATTGTAGTGTTGAAATTTTGCCAGGAGTGAAACTCCCAAAACCGAAACTGTACTTGATGACACCGCGGGAGCTAGAAGATCCAAGCCGATGTGAGTGATGTAGCAGTGGGGGCGGTGTTACTTCAAGCAAATGAGACGGGGACTCTGCAGCCGTGTGCATATACCTCCCGTAAACTAACTGAGACTGAAAGAAGATGGGCATCTGGGAAAAAGAAGCTTTTGCAGTTTGCTGGGCTCTGTTAACCTGGAGGCATTTTCTAGAAGGGGAAAAACACCCCTTTGAGGTGTGGACAGATCATAAAAATTTAAAGGCTCTGAAAACACCTCGGAAGCTGTCTCCCAAACATGTTTGCTGGGCGCAGTACTTCAAACGCTTTAATTTTTAATTGAAGTACATTCCAGGGGGGAAGAACTTCATGGCGGATGCTTTATCTAGATTACCTCAATATAATAGTGCCTGCCCAGAAGTGGTCCGGCCTATTGTCCCAACCAAACAGTTGGTGGCTCCAGTGGTTACCAGAGCCCAGAAAAAGAGGGAAATTGATTTATCAAATAATTTATCTGTACAGTTAAAAGAAGCTCTGAAACTTGATGATTGGTTCCTGGCTCACTCAAATAACTGTATGGTTAGAGATGGATTGGCATGAGTGGGGGCCAAATTATAAGTACCAGCAAAGTTGAGAAACCAAATATTACAGCAAGCTGATGACTCTAAAGCTGCTGGACATTTTGGATTTGTAAAAACCTTACACTTGGTTAAAAGGCAATTTTGGTGGCCTACTTTGAAAAAGGACATTGAAACTTATGTGGCTAGTTGTCCTATCTGTGCCTCAGCCAAACAGCCTCCTGTTAAACCAGCAGGCTTGCTACAAAATGTAGCTAGACCAACTGCTCCATGGAAAGAAATTTCTATGGATTTTATAGTGGAATTACCTGAGAGTGGGGGAAATAGTTATTTGGGTAGTAACAGACTTGTTTTCCAAACAGGTACACTTCATACCTTGCGCAAAAATCCCACCTGTGAAAACTTTGGCTAAACTGTTTATTTTACATACATACAGGTTACATGGTGTTCCTGAACACATAATCTCAGATAGGGGTGTCCAGTTTACCTCAATTTTTTGGAAGGAGTTCCTGAAATTGTTGGGCTCCGCCCAGGGCTTAAGCTCTGCCCACCACCCACAAACCAATGGGCTTGTGAGAGAACTAACTCGATATTGGAAAAGTATCTTAGATGCTATATAAATTATCAGCAAGATAATTGGGCAGACCTATTGCCATTCGCTGAGGTAGCGTATAACAATTCGGTTCATAGTAGTACTGGGTTTACTCCATTTAAAGTGGCTTCGGGACAAGACTTTGTACCCATACCCAAGCTTCGACAGGAAAAATCTAGCATTTAGTCATTAAGTGAGTGGATAACCCAACTCCAGCTTTCTTGGCCGGTTACCCGTAAAGCATTAGATGATGCTCATCAAGCTCATAAAAAAATTGCAGACAAAAAGAGAGCTCCAGAAAAACAATATCAGGTTGGAGATAAGGTCTTCTTATCCACCAGATAATTGCAGACCACACAAAAGTCAAAAAAGCTTGGATCTAAGTATGTCGGACCTTTTCCAATTGAACAAATTGTGAATCCTGTGGCTGTCCAACTGAAATTACCAAAAACTCTCCGACGAATCCACCCTGTCTTTCATGTTAGTTTATTAAAACCTGAACATACCTCCGACCTGAGACCAGCTCAGGTCGATCCCCCCATGCGTTTGTTAATTGAAGGTGAACAACATTTTGAAGTTAAAGAAATTTTGGATTCTAGGAAACAAAGAGGTCGACTCCAATATTTGGTTGTCTGGAAACATTTTCCTCCTTCCCAGTCCAAATGGGTGAATGAGAAGAATGTTCGAGCTCCTACGCTTATCAAAGCATTTCATACTAAATATCCTGACAAACCCTAAATTATAGTACTGTGGTATTACATGTACATTATTCTTTTATCTTGTATTCTTTTTTCTTTTATAGGGCTAACGCCTCTTTTGCAGGAGGGCCGAATGTCAGCCTTCAAGATTTCCTTCCTTTGCTTTGCATCTTTCGGCTGTCATAAGTAATGGGGGAAGGAGGAGGGACATAGTTATGGGAAGCAAGCTGGAGGTTTTACAAAAAAGAACTGTATAAGTTTGGGGGGGGGGAGTTTCTTGCTTATGTTTCTTTCCTATACTATGCGCAAGCGCTGCTCTTTATCAAAATATGTCAAGGTCGACAGAGGCCTCATCATCACCTGGAGGTGCCCACATGACATTATATACAACTTTTTATCGGATGGACAGTTTAAACTATTATGGGTGGGAACATTGCCATCACTTTGTGTATGTGATTTACGCACTCATTTTCTCAGATTCAGAATTACTTTGATGCTACTGCTTGATTGCCAGTAAAATATATCTTTTCTCTAATTAATGGAGTCTATGTATTTATTTCTTGGATTTTGAATGGAGCACCAGCTGACACCTATCCCTCTATCAGAGTAGCCGAAGAAGCCCCTTACCACACTGGCTTTGCACGGTCAATGGTTGTGCGGAGTCTAGGTTTCACATAATCATAATATCCTTGGTTTTTGTGCTCTTCTTGACACCAAACTAGGTCTGCATTGGGGTATTTATGGAATTCCTTCAGCAGGAGGTCAAAAGGGAATGGCGACAGCTAGAAAGAAAAGGCCTTGGGTTGATTATGAATGATTTTCAGCCTTCTACCTTTATAAACAAATTGTAATAGGAAAATTTTAAAAAAGGTCAGTCTGGTTTACAAGCTCCATGGGGAAATGGAAAAACAAGCATTCAATCCATAAGATACTTATACAATTAAAAAAGAAAAAAAGGACTGAGTAATGTATCAGAAATTTAAAAAGTTGTTAAGGCCAAGAAGGACTTTCATTTAGCAATATGTTGGGCCTAATCCAAATATTCTGCAGGCAAAGTCAGATCATGCATACTTTAACCTCCATCTTGGCTCATTTGCTAGGAGGAATGAAGAGAAAATTCATAAGCCTGTTCAGATATTTGCTGCACAAACCTTTTAGGATTCTTTTCAGAACCAGACGTCTGTCAGAAACCTGCAAAATATTGCAGAAAACCTGACTCTACTTCAGAACTGTAGTCCACGAAACAAAGCTAGAGGACCAGAATATGCCTGATACTTAAATTTTACTTTTGCCAGTGGAAGACTTAGTCATTTGGCGTACAAGTATAGAATTCTTTAGCTTCTTGTTTATAAAATTCTAGTGAGTTTCAAAATACTTATTGTTTAGAGCTAAAAAAACATTCCGGGATCCTACTTTTGTTAAGTCAGCAATATCATTCCCACAAAAGCCCTACCTGCTCTACCCTTGTAATGGCCACATCTGCTTCCCTATTCCGTGTCTTCCGCTCTCGAATAAGTTCATAATAAAGTTTACCAGTGCAGAAGAGAACTCGTTTGACTTGTTCTGGATTCTGTGCTGCCAGACTAGTGTCTGAGATGACACGCTGGAAATGAGTGCCTGGAAAACAGTGGAGGTTATTATTTTTTGTTATATATCAGTATACATAGTAAAATCCGCTCCAAGGAGTTTATAAAAAAGAGGAACGGGACAAATATGAGGAAGTTAACAAAAGGCAGAATTAATAGCAGGGTATCTTTTCCATAAAGGCCTGATTTTGTTGACAGAAACCACACTATTCTTTGAAGCCACAGGATTTGTTTAAAATATCAAGATTAATGATAATTGTTGGTGTACTATGGCTCCAACTTTAAAGCTTTTGTCAAATGCAAGTAGCAACGGAGCACTAATCCCTGTTCATGTATTTCTTCACAGGAAACTCCAAGTAAAAGCAAAGTGTTACGCTGCCTGTTGGAGGAACATCATAACAAAATTCATGACCTTAAACCAAGGTCTTGAGGACTGAGTCAGAGAAAAATGACAGCTCCAACTATTTTGCTACATATGAACTCTTTCCCTGGGTATCATTTAGTGATGGTGATAATTTTTCCTAGCACAGAAGACCCAGACATCCAAAACTGACTCTGTTCCTATGAAGGTTAACAGAACTTTAGGAAGGCTGGCATGCAGAGTTGTCTTTGTGACCTTGTGTTTCAAGAGTTTCCTTGCCTAATTGTTCAGTCATATCTTCCCTCCTACCAAAGAAGACATTCCTCCCTAGCCCTGATCCCAAATCTACTGTACCTGCCAGCATTTCATCAAAGCTGGACCGAGCTTCAGGGTGACGCAACAAGGACTTTGGAGTGAAGACTATCAGCTAAACAAAAGAGAGTGGGAGGGAGGGAGAGATAGGACCAGGGGAACACGACCCAAATCAATACTGAGGTGTAAGAACAGAAATGTTCAGAATTTAATGAAAGAACAATAATCCAAAGTTAATTATTCAAAGGTTCTATTTTTAACATCATCAGAACTGTACTCAATGTTATTAGGGGAACACTGACCAAAGAGGCACACAACCAGGATAAAGTAATTTTTCATACTTATCAGTAAGATATTTAGCAGGAATGCAAAACAATAAAAGTGCTCTTTTCGGTAACAATATCTTTAGTGATAGTCGAAATTACAGGCTTAATTAATGCTCTTGCTAAATTTGATTTGATAGATTTGAGGCTGATTTTAGTTATTGTAATGTAGGTACTGATGAGTCAATACGAAATGCTTGCATCTACCTCTGTTCGTCTTTTGATTGTATTGTTTAAATTATTAAAAGGGACTGTTTTAAATACTCTGAAATGTTTGATTTCAATCATTTCTTGAATAAGACTCAAATGGTGGTGAAATCCAAAATGTGCACTTGCTGGGATGCTGTAGAGATCCTAAAGTATTTGGATCTGTAGTTTAGCTTTTGGAATAGTAATATATCTGCATTCGGCAAAGTACAGACAATGCTCTGAAGTAAGAAAGCCTCAAGAAGGTAAGAATAGAAAGTATGCCAGCAGATTTCATGGATTCAGTGAGAAAAGGAATCAGGCTGAGATGGCTTTAAAATACAGTCATGGAGGATTCTGGTGGCTCTGCAGGCTTCCCATCTCAGAAGCGGTAAACCTGGATGCCAGGAGGGGGGTAGCTATGAGGAAGAGCCACAATCTTAACTCTGGGTTTCTTGGCTTTCCAAAAGCACCGAGTTAAAGGCTACTGGAATCAGGATACTGGATTGGATCCATTCTGCTAGCACTATATAGGCAGTCCTTGTTTACCGACTATTCATTCAGTGACCTTTCAAAGTTATGATAGTTCTCAACATTATGCCTGTGGTGCCCCTGCAGTCATGTAATCAAAATTCGGACCCTGGGCAGTTTGTCCACAATGACAAGGTACACTTCAGCTCCACTCACTTGCTTATCTCTCCCCCAGATCTGCCCTTTTGACTGCCTGCACTCTGCCACCCTTGCTACCTTGCACCCCCAAGGCCCTGCACTCTACTGCCCTTATTGCCCAAAGCTGATTTTTGCATCTTCTTCCTCAACAAGATACACCCAGTTTGAACCTTCTTGAAGCAGCTGTAGGCAGCTGCTGGCATGCCTCAGCAGCAGCAGGAAGAAGAAAATGGTGAAAATTAGCTGTGCAAGGGAAATGCAAGTCAGGCTGGCAAGAGCAGCAGAGGGAACAGGAGCAGCAGGGGCAATGGAGTGGTAGATGCAGAGTGGCAGAGGGGACAAGATGGCAGGAATGGGGGGTAGATAAGTGAATGGGGAGAGTTGAAGCGGCAATGAGAACAGCAGGACAGGACAGAAGTATAAGCTCCTGGCCTAACAACTGCAACTGGAACTATTAAAATTGTCACCTCTAAGTAGGGAAGTCTTGATGTTTCACTAAAGGACTGCATCTCTTAATGGCAGAAATTCTGATCCCAGTTAGGGTTGTTAAGCGAGGATAACCTGTATTTGATACTTCCCTCATTATCTGCCACTCAGTTCAACTGCTCTGAAAAAAGTTCTTTTCATCAGTCAGAAAAACAAGAGCTCCAGGATCATTGGGTTATAATATTTTGTAAGATACAATTTAAAATAATTTGCCTGAAAACTAAGGTATTAATACTCAGTAGAGTGTATCAGCTATGACTAGCTAATTAACTTTTAAGGCATGAATATGTATGTGGCATAAAGTTCAACAAGGAAGTGAAAACATTTGACCACTGTCTTTTATTGGAAAGAGAACTCCTAGGTAGTGAACAGGGTGCTGTAAAAAATGCCAAGGAACAGAACTGGCCGGATAGTCAGAATCCACCAAGAAAAACAGGCTCTTTGCAAATTAACCTTGTTTATAGTTCCCCCATCCAGCAGTGTTTTTCTTTGACTAGTGATAAGTTCAGAATTGTTTCACAAGTTATCATGTGCCACTTTCTACTTGACTTCAGGGTCTAATTAAAGCTCGAAAGCTAACATGGGGGGGAAGGGAGAACCCATGTCCCTCTTTGTACTAAGGAAGTCATTCTTCATACTGACTGGTTTCCGGAAGGGGAGAAGTATCTGCCGCCGCATAACATGGAAAAAGTTTGCTGGAGTGGAGCAGTTTACAACAATCCAATTGCAGTCGTACAGCTGGCGCACATCAAAGTCGTCTAGTTTCTGTAGGAAAACAATGATGGAGTTCAGAAAGGAGAAGAATTGCGTGCATTGCCAAAGTGATCGAAGAACCTGAAAATCAACTGTGAAATATATCTCTGGAACTAGGGAAGGGGGTTCCCCTTAAAAGGTGAGAGGAAGCAAGACAGCTAAACAGGGCGGGATGAGAGCCAAATTATAGTAGGCCAGATGTTTTGAGGATTTTTTTCTTTGTAAGTATTTTGTTTTACAATTCTTGCATTGCCCATCTCAAACTGCTAGCAATCTGTGACACTTTTTATTTGATGGATATTGGTTAGATGTTGAATTGGGGGCTCTAATCTGCATCCTTGTAATCTCAGGTTGCCTACCCTGAAGTAAAGCACTGAGGTGATTACGGAGTGTTTAGGGACACATGGAGGAGTCCTTCAGTCTACAACAAGACTTATCCCCCCCCCCCCAACTCTTCTCGGCATTCTTAGAAATGTGGCTAAGAGACGTGTGGACAGAAGGAAAGTATGGCCAACAAGCACTCACAGCCAACTCACCGGGAAGACATCTGGATCATCATTGCACATTTGTAAGAATCGTTCTGGTCGAGCAGAAGAATGCTCAGGGCCCTGCAACAGATATGGGACTTCCTTGAGTAATGGCTTTTCCTTGGCTAAAGAGAACATTGAGGCAAAACTGAGCATTTCTTCCAGAAAGAGAGTTGCTATAGAGCAGGGGTGGGCAAACTTTTTGGCTCGGGGGCCGCATTGACTTTTAAAATTTGACAGACGGGCCGGGTCAGCACAAGATTTTTTGGGAATCGCCCCCCCACCCTTTCCCCCCCTCTTCTCCTCCTTCCCCTCCCCTCGGAGGCCCCCTGAGTCAGAAGTTGCTACCGCCGGCGCAGCTCCGTGCGGCTCCAGTCCCGCGTTGCCTCGGGAAGGGAAAGGCAAAAAGGAAGAGCCGCGGCGGTGCTTTGCAACGGGAGCAGCGGCACCGGAGGCTCAGGCTCAGCGGCTCCTGGTTTTGCCTTTTCCTTCCCAAGGCAACGCGGGACTGGAGCCGCACGGAGCTGCGCCGGCGGTAGCAACTCCTGACAGCCCCAGCCGGACACCTGAGCGAAGCCCGGGCGAAACTGCCTGTTGCTGCTGCCGGAGCACTGCCGGGTCACCTCCTCCAAGCAGCCTGCCCGCCCGCTGGGCTTCCCCTCTGCCACGCGGCTCGGGGCCAGGCGCGAGCGCCCGCGAGTTAAAAGGAAGCCGAAAGTTGCTGGGAAGTTGCTCGGGTGCTGGGAGCAGGCTTTTAAAGTGCCACCCGAGCAAAGTTTAAGCAGCCCGCCCACCCGCCGGGCGGAACCCTTCCCGCTCCTCGGCGGGAAGACGCTCCAGCCTGCAAACTTTGCCTTTGCAAAGCCCTGGAAGCCCCGGAAAACCGAGCAACTTCCCAGCAACTTTCGGCTTCGTTTTAACTCACGGGCGCTCGCGCCTCGCCCCGAGTCGCACGGCGGAGGGGAAGCCCGGAGCGCCGCCAGGTCGCCTCCTCCAAGCAGCCCGCCTGCCCACCCGCCCGCCGGGCTTCCCCTCCGCCACGCGGCTCGGGGCCAGGCGCAAGCGCCCGCGAGTTAAAACGAAGCAGAAAGTTGCTGGGAAGTTGCTCAGGTGCTGGGAGCAGGCTTTTAAAGTGCCGCCTGAGCAGGACCGCCGAGCCGGGAAACGGGGCACCAAGGCAGGGCAAGGCTCCACCAGCAGCGGCCTAGCTTTAGGTGGCTCCAAGCAGCCCGCCCCGCCCGCCAGGTGGAACCCTTCCCGCTCCTCGGCGGGAAGACGCTCCAGCCTGCAAGCTTTGCCTTTGCAAAGTTTAAGCCTGGAAGCCCCGGAAAAAAAAGGGGGATCGGCGGGGACTCACCTTCTGAGAGGTCGCACTCGAAGGTGATTTCAAACTCCCAGCCGAGGCCTTTGCAAATTTCTTTTCTTTCCTACCCCTAGATCGCTCCGCACTGTTTTGCAGCTTTGGGGGCCACGTGGCACAGCGATTTTTTTTCAGGGGCGGGCTGCATTGGACAGACCAACGGGCCGGATGTGGCCCGCGGGCCGTAGTTTGCCCACCCCTGCTATAGAGCAATGGTTAAAGTAACTGGATAGGAAGCAGGGAGAACCATGTTCAAGTCCTCTCTTAATAATGGAATTAGCTGGACGACGTTAAGCCAGTTATTTTTTCCCTTAGCTTTTTCTATCTTGATAGAGGTAAATGAGAAATCAGCCAATGGCTCTGAAATGCTGAACAAATGATGTAAAAAATAATAAACAAAGCAATAAAGAAATAAATCTAAATTCAAACCCCCAATTTAATATGCACTATTAGGCACTTTTCCATGTTCTAATATCAGAACAAAAGTTAATATTATTTCTCATTTTCAATTTTGTTATGCTGACACAGGCTTTAATGTTTTTAATTACCTCAACATATGCAACAATTTTCAATGCAGGGCAAATACATATATGTAGGATCTAATTTAACACAGTCTAAACATAGATATTGTCTAAATCCACCTATCAGGCAGGTAAAAGGAGACTTATTAGAAAACAACACAAATGTTTCCTTACCATGCCCTCCATGCCATGGGGAAGAAGAAGTACAATGCCATTCTGCCTCACCCATTTGGCCTGCCCAGAGCAGATGAACTGGTCGATGATACACTGAGCTGTATTGTGGAAGTCGCCAAATTGAGCTTCCCAAACCACCAAAGCATTGGGACTGGCCATAGCAAAGCCAAGCTCAAATCCTGCATTGATAGAAATGGAAAGCTCTTTTGGGTGTAGGAAGATTATCAGGGAGGGATAGACTTAAAAATCAACAGTTTATATAACTCCTTTAAGTTTTAGTAGGGAAAGGACATACCTAGGACTCCATATTCTGAGAGAGAACTATTGCAGACAGTGTAAGGAGCTTGATTTGGCCACAGATGATTCATGGGAATACAGGTTCTCTTGTCAACATTCTGATCATGCAAGACATGGTGCCGATGGCTGGAGAAGATAAAAGTGAAAATTTTATTTAAATTCCTGGCAGAAAACTACTCCTCTAAATCATGGGCCTTATACTATACAGCTGTCACAGACTTCAAAGCAGCTTTGAATCTGATTTCTAGGCCCAACCTGTTGTGCAAATTGCAAAACTCTTCTATAGACAGAAGGCTGCAACTACTAATCTATACTGCAATCTCTGTAATCAAATCCCCATAAAAGTTAAATAAAGCTCCAAAGAATACATGTGATCATGTATCCTCTGTGATCATATTAAGAGCAATTGCGTTCTCTTCGCTGATGATGTAAAGCTGTTCAATACCACAGACAATACTGCTACCCTACAAAAAGATCTTGACTATGTATCAGAATGGTCAAACAAATGGCAACTTCAAATCTCAACAAATAAATGCTCTGTCTTACATATTGGCAAAAAAAATCAGAAAATAAAATACAAGCTGAATAGTCAAGATCTTGTTGATGACCCAAGCTCTGTAAAGGACCTTGGAATACTCACCTCTAATGATCTAAGTGCTAGAGCCCACTGCAACTACATAGCCAAAAAGGCATTAAGAGTTGTTAACCTAATCCTACGTAGCTTTTTCTCTGGTAATATCACACTACTAACCAGAGCATACAAAACATTTGCTAGACCAATACTCGAATACAGTTCATCAGTCTGGAACCCTCATTACGTATCTGATATTAGCACAATTGAGAAAGTCCAGAAATATTTCACAAGAAGAGTTCTCCACTCTTCTACTCGTTGTAGAATACCTTATGCCACCAGACTTGAAATTCTAGAACTAGAAAACCTTGAATTACGCCGTCTTCGGTCTGACTTAAGCATGGTATATAAAATCATACATTGCAATGTCCTACCTGTCAATGAATACTTCAGCTTCAACCATAACAACACAAGAGCACACAATAGATACAAACTCAAAGTAAACCGCACCAAACTTGATTGCAGGAAATACGACTTCAGCAATAGAGTGGTCAATGTCTGGAATACTCTACCCGACTCTGTAGTCTCTTCCCCAAACCCCAAAAACTTTAACCTTAGACTGTCTACTACTGACCTCACCCCTTTCCTAAGAGGTCTGTAGGGGGCGTGCATAAGCGCACCAACGTGCCTACCGTCCCTGTCCTATTGTTTCTCTTATTCTTTTATTTTTTCTTATATGTACCCATTTCATGTATTCACAACCATGTATACACTTATACTTATTATCTTGTAAACAATTGGCAAATCAAATAAATAAATAAATAAATAAATACATCATTTTTTCCTATTGCTTTAGGAAAGACAAAAGGTTGTCAATAAGGATCCAAGATATCAGACCAGTGAGATAGAGGACACAGACAAGGCAGTTGTCAGTGTTCCAACTAACCAACTCCAAACCAGTAAACTCCAAGACAAGCAATTCCTCAAAGTTCCATTTTATTAGAGTTGTCATATTGGCAAATCTGGGAAAACCCGAATTTGAGAGTTCCAGGTTTTCCTTTCCCAAAAGAGAATCAAAGATCCATCCCCCTGCATCCATCAATCCATCACATGGCCCAATCCAATCTTCCTCCCAACTGGAGACATCCCTCCAGTCAATCCCCTCCAGGTGCAGAGCAACATGCCCTTGATTCTCTGAGAAAGAATGTTGTTATGTCTAAATTTCTACCTCACTATGAAATCCCCCCTCCCAAATACCCAGGCACTGACTGTGGCAGCCTCGAAGCTCCAAAGAGAAAAATGGCTTCCAAGGCTGACAGCAGTATTCCTAACCCATTAATTATTTAATTATTATATTAATGCACTAGTTGCCATGATAAATTACTTCTCACCAAAACTAGCCAAGAACCATATTTCAATTTCATTATATGGAGATAGTCACATTAACTTCCCTGACAGGCTTATAACAGGTGCCCAAAGTTTTGGCCAATTATTTCTAGTTTTGGCTCTGGAAATGAACTACAAAAAGACCAAAGTGATAGTCTTTGTGAAATGCCATCCTATTTGGACTCCAAATAATCATTCTATCGAGCGGGCTAAATATGTTTTCCATGCCACAATCTTAAGCGCAACATACAGAGAATATGTACTACAAAATGCCCAGTCAGCCACAGCCACTTTGCAATCATTTTCTATACTAAAGGGGACTGATTCATCCCAGCTGCATGCCAAGTATACTCAGTTAAATATGAAATGCCATTGATCCGCTAGAGTTATACTCCAATTTCTTAGGAACCTATTTCAAGTTCCTTGCTGAGTCTCAAACACATTTGTCTGCAGTGGGGATTGAGACTACTACTCAGTTACACACCTTCAGGTATTGGGTCAAAGTATACTTTGCCCTTCCTGGTCTGATATCTTGGATCTTTACTGACAACCTATTGTCTTTCCTAAAGCAATAGGAAAAAATGGTGCTTCTGGATTTTCATTAATCCAACTTTGTACATTTGTATACTGATATCCACCTAGCCTAAGCTGAGGATAATGCTAACAACATTTTGCATTTGCCCCCAAATGTTATGGATTTTCACTAAAATCCTGTATTGGTTAAAGAAAGACTGCCCATGTATAGTCAACACACTTTACCTGAATGTTCCTCTTTCAACATCTTGTCCACTCAGCCGAATATGGATTCCTTCTTTAAGAAGAGAGCCAAACGCCATATACTCTGCTAAGGCCCAGTCTACAGTCCTATTGGAAACCATCTCTCCTCGTGTTTTTAGAATCCTGCTTAAGCCTTTAGAGAAAAAATAATAATCTGATTGAAAACTTTAAGGTAGTATTTTCCAAAATGTATAGATGCCTTTTCAGATGCTTTGAAAGTCTGTTGCTTTGGGTAGCAAACAGTGAAGAATATTGCATCATACATCACTTCAGTAACTGAGTACCCTTCAGATGTATGTACTACAATTCCAGAGTCCTCAACATGCTGGCTGTGGAATTTTAGGAGCTGAAATTCACATGCCTGGTAAGGATGCTATAAATCAAAGCACAAATATAAACTGTAAAAAAAGAACAAAGACCAAGACTGAAAGATTAAGTTCCAAAGTAGAATCTATTTTCATCTTAATTTGTTGACAGCTTGGATTGGCTATGAGGTAGGCCCAAATGCACTAGGATATAATACATGGAATCCTGTTAGCTATCATTAAAACATGCAAAACACAAGCAAAATACTGATTGTTCCCTCAATTCTGAACATCTATCTAAGACAGGCTTCAAGGAAACTTTGCAAAAGACCCGTCCATGCAAGTAAGATACTGCATTTTCTAATGAAATAATTTAAAAAGTAAAACTCAACGGTTAAAAATATAGAAAACCATACCCCCATGAATGGTAAAATTTTCAACAGGAACTGAACTGGCCACCTTTCCTATATGGACCAAATCTTCTTCAGTCAAGCCGGTAGAAGGACAAGTCATGCTCCGAGGTTGGCCATCCAGGGTGAAGAAACCTGGACATTTCAGAAGATGACATAAAAAGATGCAAGGAAGACATTCACAGGAGGAGCAAGCTCTAGTTAGAACAATTCCTTAAAGATGTTCCTCATTGCCAAATTTCTTTTGAGAAGGTATTTGGCAAATAAACTGTCCAATTAAACTACTGGATCATCCTGCCAGAGCATCTGGGAGAAGAACAAAAATTCTTTATCAAGTGCCTCTTAGTTTAATGCAAGCACATTTTGTTTATTAATAATGCTGATTACCTCTTATGATCCTTGTACAGAATTTTCAGAACTCAGAGTACTAGGCAAGGACAACTCATGTTTGTGCCAGAAACGGCAAGTGCAATCTTTTGGCCAAGAACTATTTTTTTTCTCAATGGCCATTAGCAAGCAGACAGTAACTTACCAGGCCATGGAGAGTCTAACCAATGCTTGATGTGAAGGATTTTTTCATCCTTGGACCTGGCATGAGCCTCTTCACAGATTTTGTCATACTTGGAAATTTCCTCCTGGAATACAAAAGGAGCATAATGTAGAGATGACCCCAAGGACAAATACTATCAACACTTTACTCTACACAAAATGCCTTCTTAGAATTATAACACATTTCTCAACCAAAACTAGTAGTAGCAATCACTGTAATTTATCTACTGGGCTGGGAATATCTGTTTCTATTTTGTCTATAATAAAGTCAGAGATTCTGCTGGGGCAAAGATGTCCCTATTTATGAAAAGTTGTTTCCAAAGTGTGTGTGTGTGTGTGTGTTCCTATAACAAGCCAGTTAATATACACAATAGCATATATCAAGTTAAACAAGTTTCAATAAGCTACACGATATCAGAGAAATTTTATCAGTTGCCACAGAAAAATAAAATTATTTTACTAATCCTGGCTGCGTATTGAATGTTTCTGTATAGTGTCATCTACTGTAATATTTAAAAAATGTAAAAAGTCTCTGAAATTATGAAATGTTTGATACCACAATGGGATGAGGAATATCAAGATATCTAAGCATGGCTGGGCTACAGAATGATTGTTAAGCCATAAATGAAAGTACCTCATATTCTGGTTGATTTACTACTCCTTGTGAAATCAGAGTCTCAGCATACTTCTGTAGCACAGGTTTCTGTTTTCGGATCTGCTTATACATTAATGGCTGAGTGAACATTGGCTCGTCCATCTCATTATGCCCATTTCGCCTGTAGCACACCTAGCATGTTTGAAAGGAAGAAAATTCCCAAATATTTATTCTTGACCTAAACAATTCATCTTCCCAAATTAAAAAGAAAGTTTTCAAATTCAGTAATTAAACGGTAATGCTTGATTGAGACCAAGCATAGGTGTAAAGTGATGGCAAATGAGCAGAACTAGACAGCAACATTCCCTGGAATGTTATCAGAAAAGAAAACATTCCAGCTTTGGAAAATTTTACATTCTACTTAAAACTTATCTTTCCACCATTCCACAAAACCCTTTGAAAATGATCCTCAGAGAGGGGGATATGGCCAAGTAAGGCAAGCTATTATTTATTTACTAATACAAATACCATTGACTTATGCAGACTTCCAGCTATAAACTGTCCTTGTTTTCAACATGTCTATATACCATTTCAGATTCTGATTTTTATTTTTTTAACTTCATCTCTTCCTCTTGAGGATCTAATGAACTGCATCCAGTCACAACTTTCTTAGTATTCCTCTCAACCCATTATTTCTTCCATGTATATTTGTTCTGCAGTTCAACCCTCATGAATTCTCTCTATGTAACCAACCTGGTATAGCATATTTCTTTTTAACTGATCAGTCACTTAGCATTCATTTAGAGGTAATTTATTCTAGAGTCCCTCTCTTCTGGTTTTGCCACAGACATTTCTCAGGTCCTACATTTCCATTCTTCTCAACTCACTTTCAATTTTCTCTTGACATGCCTCTTGACACCCCACATTTCTATATAATAAAGTCCATCAAAGCCCACACATAGTTACAAATAGTCCTCAATTATGACCATAATTGAGCCCAAAAGTTCTGTTGCTAAGTGAAACATTTGTTAAGTGAGTTTTGCCCCATTCTATGACCTTTCTTGCCACAGTCGTTAAGTGAATGGCTGCATATATTAAGTTAGTAATATGGTTGTTAAATCTGGCTTCCCCATCTCTTTTGCTTGTCAGAAAGTCTCCAAAGGGAATCATATGACCCAGGGACATTGCAACCATCACAAATGAGTCAGTTGCCAATCCCCTGAATTTTGATCACGACCATGGGAATGCTACAACGGTTGTATAAGTGTGAAAAACGATCACGTCCCTTTTTTCAGTGCCATTGTAACTTTGAATGGTCACTAAATGAATTGTTGTAAGTTGAGTACCTGTATTTTTTCCTGCTTTTAGGAAAATAGTACCCACCATCTTTCTACTATCATTCCACATCTAAATCATTTTTAAAAATACTTATTAAATAACTTATTATATAACCCCAACTAAAAGTATCAGTTTGTCAGACAAATCAGTACTACCTACCAGATCCACAACTACATCTTTGTGGAAAGTACTTCTCCATTCAGCTGCCACATTGCACACATATACTACAGCCTCTGGATCATCAACATTGACATGGAAAATGGGTGCATTAACCACACGAGCCACATCTGTTGGATATGGGGAGGAACGGGCCATACGAGGATCGGTAGTGAATCCAATCTGAGATGACAACAGAAGCCATTTTAAAAAAATAACCATAAAGGTAATTACAAATTGTATGAGGATTTAATTAATACATCATCACTAACTCTCAGTTTTTTAGGTGATAAATGGAAAAGTTAGTTAAATGTTGAAGGAACGTCTTTTGTGGAACATTCCTTCCTGAGAATGATATGTATGTATAAAAATACTGAGACTTTAGCATGAAGCATGGATTTTAAAAGGTAATGTCCCCATTCCTAGTTCTGTCAAGAATAGTCAAAAGATGAAAACAGCACTCAGGGTGAATCAGAGGAGACATATACTGTGAAAAATCTAATTTTGTTGACAATTCTAAAAACCATTCTATTTTTTCTGGAAAAGGGAAAAAATTAAACTAGCCTTAATTCCGTAATTAACATTAATAATTTCTTTCCTCAAGATAGGGTTAGGATTCTTTGCTGTTTGGTGACTCAAAGCTACTTCAGCAGTGTTCCATCTTTTGTTTCATTTATTGCTAGTTCTATACTTGCAGTCTTGTAAGACTTGCATTTGGCATTTTCACTTTTGTTTGGGCACTTCTTTCTGATTCAAACAGTACTGAATGTCCTAGAACCCTAAAGCTGTTCTTTCCTACAATCTTCCCAAAGGCCATAGGTTAAAAGAGAGAAGCCCAAGACCACTGCTTTCCTATTCCAAAAGTCTTTTCACCTAGAGTAGGCGTGTCAAACTCACGTCATCACATCACCGTCACGTGACATATCGGGACTCCCCCCTTCACTAAAATGTGCATGGGCGTGGCCAGTGCATGACGCATAAGTTTATACATAAGTTTCAGATAGGGTGGGTGTTAATTGATACACACAGCAATAGTATCTCTATTCCATAGGTTCCATCCCCTCAAATTGCTCTGACAACAAACTAAACTGCCTCCTTAAAGAGGTTTTTATTACTCATTAATATCATTATATTAATATAATCATGAATGCAGCATAATGTACAGATCAATCCCTTAGTTTCATAATCATTGGTATTAAGTTTTCCTGTCAAATAAGAAAGCAAGAAACATGCGTGGGACATTCCAAATTCGTGGCTAACTGTCTTCATCTGACAAGTTTAACACTGAGTTAAATTTACTTCAGTTTTTTTCTCAATCAACTCTTTGATCACTTCAAAGTACTGTATAAGGAGTATAAGACACACTTTTTCCATCCCCAAAAGAGGGTGGAAATGTCAGTGCATCTTATACAGCAAATGTTGCCAAAGCCTGCCCACCCACTGGCCCCCACTCTTTGGCCTCTGCCTCCCAGCAATTTGCCTCCTTGCAAACAGCCTGTTTCAGCTGCAGCTTCAGCTTCAGCACCACCTGATTAGCACAAGCCGCTGACTGTTGGTTGGATCGGCCTCCCAACTATCAGCTGTTTCAGGCTGCAGGAATTGCCACTGCCTATTGCTGCCTCCGTGGGCCCCATTTTTTGGCCTTTGTGTGCCCAATTTTCTGCCCATTCCAATCCCCACTGCCCAGAATGGGCAGAAAATGGGCCGCAGAGGCCGAAAACAGGGCGTGCAGAGGCTGAAAACAGGATGCGGAGGCCGAAAATGGGGCGCACGGAGGTGGCAATAGGCAATGGCAATCCCTGCAGCCTGAAACAGCTGATTGTTGGGAGGCCAATCCAACCAATGATCAGCTGCTTATGCTAATCAGTCTGTGCTGAAAGCTGAAACTGAAACAGGCTGTTTGCTGCAAGGAGGCAAATTGCTGGGAGGCAGATTTTTTCCCCCTTGTTTTCCTCCCCAAAAGCTAGGTGCACCTTATACTTCGGAGCGTCTTTTACTCTGAAAAATACCATAAATAAACTTAACTAAAACACTACCTTTAAAGTTCAATTAAGAATGCAAAAAATAACATAGCTCCTAATCTGTTGCTTGTTCTTGGTAAAAAATTAGGTTAGAGAATCTGATATGGTAACAAAAGAACATGTATTTTACCTGATTGTTCACTACCACATGAACTGTCCCATGTGTTGTATAGGAAGGCAGGTCACTCAAATGGAAAGTCTCGTAAACGATCCCTTGCCCAGCAAAAGCAGCATCTCCATGCAAAAGGATTGACATAACCTTTTTAGACCAGAACAAATTAAAGACATATTAATAACTTTGGAGAATTAGGTGTCAAAGTGGCTGAAAAATGAAGCACCCACAACATTGTCACTGTAAAAACAAAAGGAAAAAGAACGCATGTACAAAACAGCAAAGAAAAGCACAAAGGAAAGGCTATCTCATATGTGCCAGCTTACTTTCTTTCCTTCAGTGTCCCCACAGTAAAATTGTTCTGCCTTTGTTTTTCCCTGAACAACAGGATCAGCAGCCTCCAAATGAGAAGGATTTGCAACCAGTGAAAGAGTGATGGTCCTGTCAGTGACACGGTTAATCCTTCGGTGATACATTCCCAAATGGTACTTTACATCCCCTGAGCCCTGAGAAAAGATAGTATTATTAGGAGGATACATTCTTTTTCAGTGAATTTTTAGAACTTCAAAATGCTACTTTGCAAATTAAAAGAAAATGAACACATATTCAAAATACATTCACAACAGAGTCTGAAATTTGAATCAGAATTAAGATAGTAGTGGAGTTGCTACTTGAATTCCTGATACTGGTGTTCACTTTGTATAATATTGATAGGATTTATCAGACTAAATCTAGCTGGTTTAAGTTGCACAGTAGAAGAATTGTTACTCAGTCTATGAATGGCATAGTGTTTACTGTCAGGAATCACACATTTTCATTATTTTTGCTGTTTCTTGAGGTCATCTGAGATAGTTTCAGGATTCACCCCTTAAATTCAAGCTGATATGAAAGCACTTTAATGCCATGAAACCTCATTCCTGACATGCAAGAGCAATCTTGAAAACAACTGGAAAAATGTTAAGGCACAATGTTGAGGTCATACTCAACTTGTTTCAGTGACAGACACAAATGTTGTCACTGTGTTCAAAACTAAATACAGTGTCCCTTGGTACTCAACTGCTTTGAAACTCATCAAATTTGGTACTCAATGCATTTTGACGTGAACATTTTGTCCTGGTACTCATTATTTGTTTGGTACTCAATGCAGAAGCTAGAATTTGTCGGTGTCAGCTGCCTTGTGACTCATTGTATTATTCCTTATGGGAAAAAATTGTTTGGTACTCATCATTTTTGCTACTTGCTGCACCCCTGGAACCAATTAACGATGGGTACTGAGGTTCCACTGTACAGTTGTTATTAACTAATATGAAGAAAGTTCCTGTCAAATAAAGTGTATAATCCCAGTAAAAGTTAAACTCACTTCATCTGCAGCTTCTAGCTTAGAATCAAACTGGCAGAAAATTTGCTCCAACTCCTTTCTGATAACATTGGCAAGAACATTGAGACGCCCTCTAGAAAATCAAAACCATATTTAGTCAGATACTACATGGAATTCATTGTCTACTGTAGGAGAAATAATCATTTTGATTAATAAATTAAATCAAATGTGACTTAAATAAGGTTTCAATTACTACTCTTTATGGCAACCCTATATCCTATCAACATTTGAAAAAAGTGGGCCTTTGGACTGAAAAAAGAGCAAAATCATAAAAATGAATCACAAGAATACAGTTCAGAATGTTTTGACTGAAAGGCAGGTTGAAATTTGGGGTACACTCTCTTGACAGCTTCACTCTCTTCAGTTTCCTCCAAGGACAACTTTACCTGTGAGGCATTCCCATGATAACATAATCCACTCCTTTTTCACTTGACTTGTCAATTATTGTCTTTAAAGCAGGAATCAGAACCTCACAGCCTTCCAAACCAAACCGTTTCTCAGAAGACCACTTTCTGTGCAGGAACTCCTCAAACCTGGAAAACAGACATGCTGTTTAAAGGTACCTGTCATGTAATCTGTATGAGTGTCCGGGCTCTTCGGCAAACCCATACTAATATGCATCCCTCCTGTCCTTGTGAGGAGGGGATGTGGATATAAATTGTACTGCTCTTATGATCTTTCTTACTGCATCTCAGGAGTGAGCCTGGGAAGTGTTGCTGCCCTTACAGAATGAAATGTGGAATAACTTGGAGACACTGATTAGTGGATTGTCTGCTTTTCTTCCTCCTGCCCCTGCCCCAAGTGTTACCTATCAGGAGAAAAACTAATCACCATTTGCTCTCCTGAATGAATGGTAGCCTGGGTGACTACTTCAACAAATCATGCTACTCCATAGTCTCTCATGAATAGCCAAAGTCAGAAGCTTTATTGTGTGTTACAAAAATCTTGTAATGTAATTAGACTGTTTGCCTTACTCTGAAATGACCAGATAGGCTTCATGGATCTTATGGGACTTGTGGCTGTACAATTACTCCAAGCTAGGTTCTTGCTTGACCCCTCCTTCCAGCCTAGATGGCAGTTTTCCAACAGTTTCCCATCTTTACTCATTATCCAAGAACAGTTCTATACTGCCAATTGAAAGATTAGCCACTGTTTCAACAGTGATCAAGAGTGATGGGAACTACAGTCTAAACATATATGGAGAAATTTTCCATGAGATACGAGCTTTCATGAATGTCATTACGGACACTTTGTGGGATTATAAATATGGCTAGGGTGGAACGTTTACATCTCAATTTACTGAAGGTGTTATGTCCTCGTGTCTATGAAATATGAAACTAGGAAAGCTTAAAACTGAACCTAATTCTTCTACTACCTGTAACTTCAACCAATGGCAGTTATGCAAGTTAACAAAAAAGAAATACCTGGTTGAACGCACTAGCCTGGCCAGCAGGGTGCGCTTCTCCTCACTGGAGAACTGCATGATACCAGGCGTTTCAAACTTCTGCCTTATCCATTGACATTGCTCAAGATCATTAATAAACATGAATTCTACTCCAATGTGCTGACAGTAAGCCATCTGTTAAAGAAAGGAAAGATGCAAGTTGGAGCAGAAGATTCAGTCATTTCCAAGCACAAATTAAAATCTTACTTTATTTGAGCTATGTCTTAATTTTATTCATAAGTTTTTCTCTTTCTGAAAACCAAGTTAATACTGTGATGATTAAGTCAATATAGTCTAAGCCAGTTAATGAAGGTTCAGATAAACCAGCATTTTAGTTCAAGTGCTGACACATCAAATCCAACAAATTACCTACTAGTTAGTCATTATATTATTCTTGAAAAATGTAAATAGTCAAGATTTGGAAACTGAAGACTGCGCAATTCTATTTAATTATAAGACAAAAAGTTACATTTAGTTATAAAATAAAAAGTTAGTTATTTCCAAGATCTTCAATTATCAGTGGACATCAGGGGACCACTAAGTGGAAATTTCAGATATAGCACCCAATTTTTCCTAGGAAAACATAGTTATGGATTTACATATACAACAAGCTGCTGCACAGAAACGTTGATATGCTTTGGAAGGGGTCTGGTTTACATGAGACATTGACAAAAAGGGATGGTTTAAAATTTGCAGGAGCATGGCTGTGGCATTTCTTTAAAAAGAGCTCTGTGTGTTTCTTTTTCTTTAGTCTTCTAGCAAAAAATTGCCTGAAAAGAACTTGGCTGCTTTAAGGGACAGACTTATTAAAGAAGCTGCACTTTAATGAGAATGGCCTGCTCTGTTTTCAAAGTTTTTCCAGAGGAATCTGGAAAAAAGCTGTAGTTGCTTTAAAAACGCATATTTCCATATTTTCCAAAGAACCTCTTTTTAATCATTTTCAAAGCAAGCACAGTTCTGTTGTTCAGTGCACTCTATAATTTGAATACTTGCTAAAATCAAAGGAAGATAAACTTAGGTGCAAAGTGCTTCTTGAAGTCAGAAATTTGAAAATGACTGAATTTACACTCCAGGTAACTGATAAATACTGTGCCAGGGAGGGGTGGAGTAGAGGGACTACAAACAGAGAAACAGAGAATGTTTGGCAAGAAATGGCATTTAAACAACTTTGCTGGAAATTATTTTTAGCCAGAGTCGTGACACCGAGAATATGAGCAGGGGCAGAGAATTATTCCCTTCATCAGAAAGTACTGCTATTAATAAAAGATAGAAATTAGAAGCTGGCTTATCGGGAAGGGGAGAATAACTCCAAAACCCAGAATGGGAAGCTGGGCCACGGAAAAAACACTGCTAATGAGGTAGCTGATGTTTTGTTTTCTACAGAAGGCAATTACAGCAGAGTCCTAAATGATTAAAATGACCTTGAGATACTGGGTTTTGTTTTTGCTTTCCAATTCCATTTCCTTCCTCTTTTCATTTTTTTGAGAGTCAGCAACAGCTTTTTTTCTATTTTTTTTTTTAGCAGAGTCACCCATTATTGTTAAAGGAAATTATGTGACTGCCAGGAAACAAAGGAAGAAAAGTGCTTCCCTTGGAAATGTCCATTTAAAACTTTTATATGTGAGCATTTTTCCACAACGCATCCTTTTTTAGAATGGAGAACTCCCTAGAACAGCTTTGCTCTTTCCTGATTGTTTTTGAGGGTATGGGGAAACCATGTTATAGTTTTTATTTTACAGATTTCTAAAATAGTGGCTGGGCTTGCATAACATGAGGGCTGAAATGGGTCTTAGCTATTGTTCTGACCCAACCCTGTTACCAGCAAGAAAATCTCAAACAAATGCAGCAACTCAAACCTTCACAGCTTTAATCTACAAATAAACTACTTTGTAGATAAAAGATGGCTTGCAGCCAATTAGTCCAACCAGAAAAGCCTTGACAGAATTCTTCAGATAAGCCGGAGTCTCTACACACAATGCTGGGTCCTTAGAGCGTTTTTGCTTTCTACAAAGGCAAAAACCTTTTGAAACCAGGCTTATATTCCCTGGAGGGAGGGGCCATTATGTTGCATCCTACTCCTGAGTTGCCTGTACTGCTCCAGCTGTTCTCTTCTATGAATCATCCTGCGCTCACGCGCACTTGGCACAGGCTCCTTGGGAACCTCCTCATCACTGCTGCCAGCCCCCACAATCCCTGAAGGCAGCAGTCCACTCCCTGATGGTCCCGGCCCCTCATCCGAGTCCTCACTCTCCTCCACCGTCCGCACCTGCTGCTGGCTAACCACAACAGCTATTTGTATTTCACAGTAGTAGGAAAGTTTATCCATTTATAGTTCAGTGTTTAGGAATTCAGGTAATTGGGCTCATTTGGTAAACCATGGTTAATTATGCAGCAGAATGTTGTACAAACATGGCTACCTAATTTGATAATGAATATCTAGTAGCCTCATAATTTATTTCCCTAAAAAGATTCATAAGATTATACCTGACATGATTATACGTGTTTCCATAAGCTAAAATATTCTTTTATTCATATCAAAGCTTGCAGGTCTTCTCTGTGGCAGGTCTGATGATGTCCAACCTACAGAATAATCTTCCTCCTATATTATGTAAGATTGCAAGTACTGGCAATATTCTTTTGATGTTTTCCCCTAGTTACTAAAAAAGTATTCCTTATTATTATTCCCCGATTTAAAAAATGCTAAGCTTTCTTTCTTACCTCCAAACGACGGATGATTTCCCGGAGTGGAAGAGCAGACTCATTTCCTCCAATGAAAGTTGTAGTTGGCAAGTGAAAGACTTTGTCAAGATCCGATTCATCTAGACCATAAAACCCTGCAGAATTTTGCATGGGTAGCAGAAGGCAAAGGAGGATTGGGGAAGGTGTTCGGTTCAAGACAGTCGTTACACAGGAACCAGGTTTTTGGTAGAGATAGGGAGGGACAAGAAAAGCAGCACAAAGTAAGCATGAAGGAGGTTTGTTTGAACAAAACACAAGCAGGAATTAAAATATTGGACAGGTAAAGTAAGAACAAAAGAAGTATAAAAGTCACGCAGCATATGAACGTAAGAAATATACTTGCCACGAAAAATTGGTAATTAAACCCAGGGAAGTGATTAACACAAAATTTAGACTTCCACACATACATTTGTAGAACATAAGGGGTACAAGTACAGAAAACACATAGTGCCACCACATTCCACCACATATTCAAAATTAAAATAAACTGAAAGAGGAAATGAAGAGTTAAAGGACCAATTTCCCAGAACCAAAAGTATGAAAAGCCGCAGGATGATACAGGGTTCTGCAGAGGACTCTCCTGAATAGCTCACTACAAGGAACAAGGATTTTATAACAAAATGGTCTCTATGTAAGCAAAACTCTTTCTACAAGCCTCACAAACACTTTGACTTCTGGAAATCTCAAAAGTATTAAAGAGCTATTACCAAACATTCCTTCCCACACTTGCTATATATGATGGTGTAGCTAGACTATAACAGGACTAACATTAGCATATTTTTGCTAGAATAATTAAAAATTGTTCTGCAATTGATGATCAGATAGCTTTGAAAGCTGGAAAGATGACAGAAATGGAAACCTTCAGAAGTGCCAATTCTGTACTGCAATCTAGTAAGAACAGGCAACTACCATAGACAAATTTGAAATTATCCCTCACCTTCACGTCAACTAAATGCTAAACCCAAAACTATAAAGGACAAATCTGACAGAGTAACTAAATTATCACAAAATACAAAAGACACTAGAAAGAAGATCCCCAGTTATATAAAAGGCCAAAATCATATAAAGGCCAAATTCCTGACAGGGGAAAATTAACAACCAGAAGATTGGTAAAGCTACTGGATTGCTGGAAGTTATGTGGGACTCCTGGACAGCAAATCCCATAACTTGATTGTTATATCAAGAGGACTTTTCCCCCTAGATTTCTACCAACCATGCATCAGATCCAGGACACAATGGACCATAATGCTTGAGATAATATTGTGTAGGAGGCAATTCCATTCTTCTCACTTTAACAAGATTACAAACTCTTTGAAACAGATCAACAGGAAAAATAAATTTATATGATACAAGGCTATCACGAACAAAAGACACTCCATTCTTGTTTTAATATTATTTGCCACACAATGTTTATTCAGTTATAAAAATCAGTGGCCATCAATGATGGAGAATGATGGCAAAGAAAATAGGAGACCAATGTAATAGGTATACTGTAGAGAAGCAATGTTTGGCTGGTTAATTCAATATCTTAAATAGAGAATGGCTTGTTTTTTAAATAGATATTTTGGGTCCAAATCTATATTGAGCTACTTAGGACCCCTGAATAAAAGATGAGATAGACATCTACTGTAATAATTGTATTGTAGATACTTGGCCTGAAAAAGCCAAAAGTAATTCTCATTCTTAGGCCAAAATACAATTATTTTTATTGTGAAAGGCATCAAGTATGCACAAACAATAAGAGAATTTTCTCAACATCTTTCAGTGTTAGGCATATAGCCATTACAATAAGACACTAAGATAAACTGCTAAACTGCATTTACATTATAAATCAACATTGGTCTTTTCAATCATTAGATTAAAAAGTACACATTTTCAGCTAGAAGTTTGCAATTAAAGTGCTCAACTATTCTGCAAAAAATGAGTTTACAAAAAGATAGCAATTCATTTTTCTGTTAGCAATGCGGATGCAGTTATGAACACCCACATCCTAAATTTCACTATCCACAAAGACCTTTCTGCACAATAAAAATAAATACCGCGCAACACAACAACACAAAACTTAGCTAATATACTTCAACAAATTTGATATGTGTTCTGATGAACATCCAGTTAACAATTTCATTTAGAATAGAATAGAATAGAATAGAATACTTTATTGGCCAAGTGTGATTGGACACACAAGGAATTTGTCTTGATGTAAATACTCTCAGTGTACATAAAGATAAAATAAAAATAAAATAAAAATAAATTTCAACAGAGACCAATGTGTTAAAGCACAACAAAGCTTTCTGAACTATTCCAAAACAAGCAAACAGAAAGCAAACAGAGAAAATAGCTACCACATGGAATCCAATGAAAGAGAACATAATTGAGGAGCCTGACTGATGAAGCACTTTGATCACACACATCTCTCTGACTGTTAACACTGAAAGCGATTCTGACGGGAAAAGACAAAAGACCAAAAACACTGTTATAAAATCGGGCAAGTTGTAACTTTACCTACACTGTACATGCTCAGAGTCAACTATTCAGAGAGTCCTAAACTCCAGAAGAGTTAAATGCTCATTATTTGCATACCTCCTACTGTTAGCACTCTCAGCCGCTCCTTGAATACAGCAAGATCTGGGGAAGGAGGGAAAGGTCGGGTGCAGAAAGGAGAAGACAGAGAAACTGAGTCAAAGTTAGTTTCTTTTTAAATTCCAAAGAACTGAGAAAGTAGTTGCAAAAAGAGAAAGTTTTTAAAAACAGTATCCGCACATATAGAGTAAAAAAAAATCACCAAAGAAAAGGGGGTTAGATGACTGTATGCCAAGGAGAAAATCTGAAGAATCTTTTAGAACCAGCCATATTGACCGCAAAGAGAATAAAATAAATACAGCAGTTACACCTGACAGATAATGGCAGTTACGTTACCGTACATGTTTTGGACTTCATTGCTTATGCAAATAGAAAAAAATCCTAAACATTAAAGTTGTAAAATGTCCTTAGGACAAGTTTCTGGTCAAAAATCACAAGTGAACATGCATAACAGAATCTTGTACCCATTCTACATGAGACTGTTGTGATTTAAGATTTTTAAATCACTGCACTGGCAAAGAATAAGACAGCATAGGATTCACACACTTTATGCTACTATATCCTGTCCTATAGAATTGAACTGAAAAGTAACAAAGATTAGGAAAAATTACAGTTTTCCTTTACACACCTGAACCTTAAGAACAATTCTAGTTTTCCTATTCTTATCTATAATTTATTTATATAAGTGAGAAACACAATTCAACTGAAAACAAGTTTATATCTTTGATTATAAATACATAGAATTATTACTCTTCTCTGTACAAGAGAGAATGCAATTCTGTCAGACAAGAACTTCAGCAATGTAGCCCGCAAATATAATAAATTACTTTCTACTTGGATATTTTCATAATAACACAGAGGTAAAACTGTAGAATTCTTTTTTCCTCAAGATGTTTTGAATTCTGCAAATCAGCATGTAAAAAGTGCTGGACACAGGAATAGATGAAAAGATTCAACAGCTACTAGGGTTGTAACCTTCAATATCCGATATAGTGTATATAAGTTATTAGGATGGGCTTTTTATTTTTCTCTTGATGTCTAACTGGTCTTGAGATTAGGGCAAAGATCATATTACATTTTTTAGAAAAGGATATGGTGATTCACAGAATTTGCTTTTTGTTCAATACATCTCTCATCCTGTCACTATGCTGGAGATAATGACACTTCTGTTCCAAATGATTCAGCTAATTATGTGGTTTTTGAATAAATGTATATGGAATCCTAGATATTCTGGATAACTGCAGTAGTATGCGTTTTGCATTGCCTAACAGAACAAGCAAAAAGGCTTGAGGTCCTGAAACCCCTTTTAAATTAAAAATTATTGAGATTTTAAAAGATGGCGCAATTAAGGAGTTTTCTAAGAATAACTCTCCAAAGCATATACCATGGGAATAGAATAATCTTTATAGAATGGTGAAAGGAGCTTAAATTATGATTCATCAAAATGATATGTCACATTTGGAATCTTAGTTTTTGTGAAACTTTGATCCCAAAGTCTTAAATCCCACATTTAGAAGCAGAGAATTTTAGAGCTCTCTGGATCTTCCTGCTTACTTGGCTATGAGATGTCTTTCTCACATTCTCCCAAGTATCACTTCAACTCTCAATCCATTACATATGGTAAGAGAAGGGACAATTACATCGACCTTGTTTTAAGAGATTCTGATTTCTTCTGAAGTTACAGAACATTTTATTCTCAATTTGGCATTCTTCAGATATGTTGGAATTTGATTCCTAGAATCCCGCACAATCATTGCGCTGCCTGGGGAATTCTGGGAGTAGAAATCCATATATTTGGAGGGTGTTCTGACTAGACAATGCTCTTTCGGATTAAAATGAAAATAAAGTGTGGAAAAGGGTCAAAGGTGAAACACTTAATATGAATTTGATTTTGTCTATTGTTTTTAGATAATACAAATTTAGCTTCATTCTAAAAATGTTGACAGAGATACTAGTTACAAAGAAGTTGCACATCTCTTCAATAAACAATATTAGCTGTTTGAGAGTTACAGAAACAAGAGTAATCCTCTTCGGAACCTTCCTGAAATGCAGTATATATCTATCAACTACCTACCTACCTACCAATTATGAATGGCATCCACCATTCATGCAGTTTTCCTGTTCTGAACATGAGCAGATGGATTCAAGCAAATAATTTACCTTAATTCATAAATATGTGGCAGTGGAATGTTGTAAAGGACAGAGAGAATGGCCTTGAAGGACAGGATGAAGAATTACTTAAGGCAACAATTAAGTGAAAGGGGCCTGAGCCTGGTCAAGAAAACAACTAAGAGAAGCCCTTCCCTAGGTCACATGGGGATAAAGAGAGAGAGGCGGAACTATATTCAGGTTTACAAGATTCTGTTATTATAGGTGTTACAACAAAAGCAGTACTGGTGTTGCTTTCTTTGTTTGGTCTGCCTTGTAGGCTGACAATAACTACTATGCATGCTAGTTATTTATATTTTATACAATGTATTTATATAGTACACTGGTAAAATAAACAAAATACAATATTTGCATTTCTTAAATCATCTCGTATATTGTTTAATTTTTATTCAGAAAAATATTATCATAATTTCTACATTCTAATAAAATATTCATGTGACAATTTCAATCATTCAATAGATTTGACAGAAGACAAAGATAATGCACAGATGAAACCACCTGAAATGTCCATTACACACACATGCACACACAATTCAGAAGCCACCATCATTCCAGTGCACTCCATTAACCTAAAATAGTTATGCCTGCCTAAGGTGAATCTTTAATCTTTGTGAAATGTGGAAGGAATTCTACAGTATATCTCCCCCACCCACTCACCCTCAATATTGGGGCTCTGTTAAGGCCTAGTACAACCTTCTGAGTTTTGGAGTCCTGCTTAATATACAGGGGAAAATAACTTCAGAGTGGAGATTTAGTAAAGCGAACTGTGCTCAGTGTGTTCTTAGATATTCACCAAAGTTATATTGCTGTTTTATTTAATTGTATTAATTTAAAATATTTGTATAGTTGCTCATCTTTCTACCACCTCTGGTTTTCTCAGATTCTTTCCATTTCACTGATACACACATACATCATCTAATCAGTACACACTGTCAATTCTGAATGAGTCACATCATTTATTTTCCATGCACAAATACTCTAATCAAAGTTTAGTCTTGAAAAGGGTTAGTTGTCATTATTGTTACTGTATTCTAAGTTAGAAGCATGCTACTTAGAAGCATTTGCAGAGCCAGATTGATTAACCTGTGGAAAGCACCAGCGATCAGTAGAGCTCAGCCACCACAACTTGCCCTATACTGAAGGAAAAAATAGTGGCCAAAATTAACAGTGAGCTCTACCGGAAAACCAAATTCCAAGTATTGCTCAACAAGTGCACCCTCATCTGAAAATCATGCATGCACCTCTCCAACGAAGGCTCTGTTTCATTTCAGTCTTTTGATTAGATGTGGGAATGCATTCCAAAGCTTCCTTATCATGATCACTGATGGAGTCATTAGTCAAAGTTGAAACTGTGTCTATGTGTTTTCTTAGCTGTGCAGCTTGCCCTAAATCATGCATTGACCTGAAGTGAGTGAGGAAGACATCAGAAAAATTTGTCTCTTTCCCCACTCCTTCCTATAATACCCAACAGTACTGAGCTCCAAGAAGTCACCAGAGCTCTAAACAAGAGCTCTGCTGACCTTTAGAATATTTTCAGTTTAAGGGATGCTTATGTGTCCATCACTCTAATGTACTCATTTTCTTGGAGTGGCAGAGTGTTCACAGTTGCTAGTCACACCTTATAGCTGGACTCCAAATCACAAGGACTGTAAGGACAAGACTGCAAGCTGTCTCGAACCGGGGATGCGATTATTTGAGGCTACAGTGACAAGTGACTAGGGACAGATCAACGCTGCCACCATTCCTTTTTATTTTAAAGTGATCATTAGAAAGGAAACTTAAGATCTTTCCCTTCAAATTTAGTGAAGCAATCTATCTAGAAGCTGTGAAAGTGAGAGAGGAGCCCAAGCAATGCGGCACTAGCTGCTTTTTGGAGCCCTCACCCAGTTTGTCTGCGGAACTGATAATATCAGCTGGAACGGAAGAGTCCAGATCAGCATCCAAGATGCCCAATGGGTCGAGCTGGGCTACATGATGCCCTCGAATCTATGAAATGGGCCAGAAATGAAAAGGATAGTGGAAACCAAAAGGGAAATGGAGGGGAAGAGGGATGGAAAGGAAAGGGGTATAAAAGTTAAATGTTGTATTCAATTTAACTTGCAGAATAATTCTCACCAATGTTTGGCGAATCAGTTACTGTCGAATCATCAAAATTTACACAACTAATGCCGAGAGGATCAAGCTTGGCAATGTGGTGACCCCTGACCTAGAAACAATAACAAAATTAGTCATGAAATTTGGTAACAATCATTCTTCCCATTGCAGGAATATTGAATTTATCCAAATCCACACTGTTGTATTTCAACAGTTATGAATTTATGAAAAATTAGCTGACGTTTATATACAAAAGTATTTTCCTTGAAGTATGAAAGTTTGATGTATTTAGTTTGATTTACATTCTTGTGACCTAGTACTTTAAAATTTCCATTTGTTTAATTAAATCGGAAAAAAACAAAAAACAAAAATAACATATAAAAGGATACATAACTATGCACATACCTATACAATTTTACACAAAAGTTTCATGAAATAATAACTGTATTTTATTAGAATAATTGACATAGAGTTTATTGCTACATGCAACACATTTGTAAGTTGCAGATAGCATCATGTTTTCAGACCACTGAGTAATTGGGGACATAAAATTATCTTTCCAGTGTTGAAGCCCAATTCTCTTAGCAATAGGAAAGACTTGGAAAATCAATTTTCTTTGTCCAGTGGCTAATTTGTATATATAGATACATAGGCCAAACAGATGTGTACATCTGAATACAGACATACACATACACAAAGAGAAAGAGAGATAGATTTCTTCATAGAATATAACTATTTTAAGAAACACAAGAGAAAATGTGTTTGAGAAACATTCTCATTGTATTGCCTGCAATACAATAATTTCCATTTTAATACAAATGCAATTAAGTCCAATAAATCCAAAATATTCTTTATTGAATAAGCCTTAGTCTAAGATCTGTTGAAATAAGATGTTAAGAGAGTATTGCAAAATGGAGATCTTTGCTCCTTATTTCATTCAATCTTCTAATTGAGTATCACATCGATTTGTCCGCAACAAGTATTTAAATGTTAATTATAGGGTCTTTCACCATCATATCTGGTGAAATGCTGTCAATCCTAATAAATATACCACAATGTTATCAATATTAGGCTGAAAAAAGAAATATTTTTTTAAACATAGGAAATAGACTAATAAAAGCTCCTCACAATAATTTACTTTTATGGGTCATTATAACAATACTCATTTGGAAAACAGAAACAAAAACACAATTTCTATAGCCAATGTTTACAAGTTTATTCTGAGAAAGACATACAGAGCATGTAATTTACATTAGCCCAATTTAATTCTAATTCTCCTGTTTACTGGGTTGTATTGATTCTAATGCTTGGAAAACAACATAGATGAAGCCACAGGTGACTGGATGTTTATACTGTCTGTTTCTGATGGAAATTTGAAGAATATGTATTGATAAAATCTTGGGTGATGTATTGTAATTTCTTCATTTGTGTACACACTTCTCAGTCTAGTAAGGCTAAAACATATCTTATTAAGACATAATGATTTCTCTGGAACTGATTCTGTTAAGGCATCCCCCCCCAATTTCCCTATATTTATGTACAATATTTTGACTAGAAATCTTCTGTATAGGCTAAACTTCAAGAAAATCCTGTCACCTCTCTCTTTGTAATAACAAAAGGTGTCATGTAACAGTTCTCATAAAAAAACAACTTGGGTTATGAGATTTGAATGGCAAGACCAGTATGCAGATTCAAAAATCAAAGTTATGTCTAGAAATATGACTAAGTGTGGTATGTATGTACCTATCTTACCCTATCTACAATGAACAATTTTAACTACAGTAAAATTATTATTTTTCTTCTAAGAATGATGTTCTTATTATTCATATATTTTTATAGAATTTCATTAAAGGTGTTTCTTTTAAGCTGTGCTATCTCAAAGCAAAACTTAATTTTGTTAAGGAAAAATTGTTTCTAAAAATGCTTATAGAACTGGGATCCATATACTTGATTCAGTAATTAAGCTCAGCCTACAACGACGCAGACTGAAGCACCTCCCACTCTCTGGATGATCCGAGCAGCTCTAAGGAGAATATCACCACTCTATTAAGTTTTTTTTTGCTCCTGCCCATCATAACAAGTCATTAGATTAATTACACATATTAAATACTGTATGAAGGTACTGCATAAAACTGCATATTGAAAAAGCTGCTTTTTCTGACTTATTTTTTCTGAAGCATTGTAAATGATAAGTCTAAAAAGTTGAGGTTGGTTCTTCTACTCAATGAATCTTTTAATGAAGAGAATTACTATATAAAATAAAACACATGTGTGAAGAAAGCAATTTACCACAGCAGCTATTTGATTTTAAAATGTGAACAATATAACAACAGAAATCATATTCTTAAGCAGGCAATTTTCTGAAATATGAAGCTATGTTAAAAATTTTCAGATAGTGCTTTATGATCCATCTCAAGAATATAGATTGGGAAAAATGAAGTAACAAAAGCCACTGTTTTAATCAAGGGAGAAAAAAGGCTTTGAATACAATAATATACAATTTATATAACTTTTCAAATCTTGGAATCCTGTTCAATTTTCAAAAATATTGTAGGAATCTTCTAGAAGCTTAGGAATTTTATTTGCATAACCATACTAAAAATATTTGTAATGAAGTAAGAAATGTATTTTTTGTCAATAAGACTAAGAATTAGTCTAATGATCATATTTGACTCAGACTTCCATCCTTCCAAGAACCCAGATTGTTGGGGGCAATATGCTGATTCTGTAAACCACTTAGAGCTGTAAAGAACTGTGAAGCAATATAGAAGTCTAAGTGCTACTGCTAATGCTACTTTTTAAAAAGCTACTAGAATATGAACTAACAATAGATCCTGCTATACTGCATTTCTATAAGGACGCAAAAGCCCTCATTATTCTCTATTTTACAAAATAGTTAAGCAATTCAGATTATTCTATGTACAGATGCTGTTATCAGGTCAGTGTGATTCAATTTCTATGAGTGTGCAAATTTTGCTCTGTTTGTAAAACAAGACATACAACCAAGCATCAGTTATCTTGCTATAAACTCTAATGTTTTGGTTTGTTTCATCTGTTACTCCTCTGATTCAGTGATTGGAATAAAAAGTAAAGCAAGTTGACCGAAAATGCTCCATTCTATTTAAGCACCAAGTCTTACAGCTGAAAACAATAATTACTTACCATATACAAATTAAAAATATAAACCATTAAAAAAACCACACACCCTTACCTGATATGCCCTGATAAGTGACTGGACTGCAAGATGATCTTCCACCAGCTTATCTACATTTGGCTGTGCTTGAACCAGAGATTGTGCATGGGCCAGGGTTGATAGGCTGGTATTTAACGGAGGGGGGCTTTGGTAAGCAGTACCTGGAGCAGCTCCAGCATTGGCATTGCGAAAGAATATGTCCCATGACTAAAGCAAATAAAAATAAAAGTCCATTTTATAGGGAATTACTTCTCCAAACAACTTAAATCTATTTCAACAAAGTCAAATTTCTATAACTTCTATAGAGTACATACATTACTAGACACATTATTAGAAATACCCAAAATGTAGTTAGGATACTAATTCATTAATTCATTTCATATGATAAGATTTGTAGAATATATCAACGATAGTCCTTGACTTACAACTATTCCTTTAGTGATTGGTTGACATTACAACAGTATTGAAAAAAATGACTTATAACTGATCCTCCCACTCACAACTACTGCAACATCCCCAGTCATGTGAGCAAAATTTGGGCCCTTGGCAATTGGCGTGTTGGTTACAGTATCCTGCTGTCATATGATTGCCATCTGTGGCCATCCCACCCAGATTCCAACAAGTCAATGGGGGAATCCAGATTCACTTAACTACTGCAATTATTCCATTAACAATCATGAAAAAAGGTCATAAAATCAGGTCCAAGTTTCTTAACAACCGCCTTGCCACAGAAATTCTGGTCCTAATAGTGGTTGTTAAGTCCAGGACCACCTGTAGAAGAAAAAAAAAGATACCTGGAAAATAAAAATAAACAGATTGAAATAGACAAAGATCAAAATCAGAAGAGTTACAGCACATTCTCTGTTTAGTCCAATTTGAAGGGCAGGAGTTTACCACAATTCACCAAAACAGTTCAACGCACCTCTAGCATTGTTGCACTGATCAAAATGTAAAATAACAATTGGTCCTTTCAGTAAAAGTTAAATGAAAAAGCAATGCTTAGCATTATGTTCTTGGAAATCAACAAATAACCAAACACAAAGCAGTTACCAAACGTTGCTAATTATGTACATATAAGAAATATATTTTTCATTCTATGATATATGACTTTGCCCTGATTAGTGATGGTTAAGAAACAATGGTAACAACTTATAGACAGATTATTTTAATAATCTCACTTCTTTATATTAAGAAATATAGTTTATTCATAGATTCTCAAATGGAATTTAGGTAATCAAAAAGTTTATTTTGCTTCTCAAATTTAAATATTGCCAAGTTCTATTAAACTTTTACCTTTGGCTATTACAAGGACATATCCATGTAAAATAGGAAATAAATAAATACAGGAATCTGATAATCATACACACTATTGTCCCAAAAGTGCTTTTTTCAAGAGGCAAGTGGACTTTCTGGTTTTTCTTTGAAAACATTTTGCTTCTCATCCAAGAAGCTTCTTCAGCACCTTTGAAAAAAACACCTTCATGACAACCATGACCTGGATGATTGAGAAACTCCATAGACATATACACTATTGTTAAAAAAGGTTCCTTGGATGTCAAGAGAAAAAAGCATCTCATGAACTCCTGCTAATTTCATAGTGCAGTAGTATCAGTCCCCACCATCTCCTACTGACGCTATTTTCAGCTTCATTTTTAATGTAAACTGTGTATCACCCAACAAGACAAAATCAGAACATGGATCTTGAGGAAAAAACAGACTCCGGCTATGACTGTGCAAAATAATGCTTCAGATTTGATTCACAAATACAAAGGTGGCAACAATCTGCAATTTTTAAAGGAATGCTTCCCAAACCTTTCCTTCATTACCAAAAACATTTTCAGGATTCAGCAAAGTTTCATTTTATGGCCTTTATGAAGGTAAGAGTGGAAAGCTCTATTTCATGCATGTAGATGCTTCAAAATGCATCAGGATAAGTACATAGGATCTCCTTAGCTACCACACCACAGGATATAAATTGTGAACTGTTAACAAAAAGAACTCTGAATAGTCCTTTTTTTCAAATAACATTTTGTGCTGACTGTTTGCCCTAGTTTGGATCATCTACTCTGCTAAACCACTGTCAGTTTGTCTGTTTTTACCCCCCCCCCAAAACCCACCTCTATCCAATTTTGTGTAATTTACCAAGGTTTGGGAAGCACTGGTTAAAGCAACTACAATTTTTATTGGAATCAAACTTCTCTTCCAAATGATTTCCAAAGGGCTGCATAGCTTTGGACGCAGTTGATGTATTTCTTGACGATTTGTTTGGTATAGTGGTTAAGGTTCCAGGCTCACTTGAGACTTTCAAAAAGAGATTGGACTGCCATTTGTCAGAAATGGTGTAGGGTCTCCCGCTTGTGCGGGCGGGTTGGACTAGATGACCTACAAGGTCCCTTCCAACTCTGATTGTCTGTATCTGTTATATAGAAACCAGGAGACTGTGAGTTCTAGTCCTGCCTTAGGCAAGAAAGTTAATAGGTGATTTTGGACCAGTCAAGCTCTCAGCCCAATTTACCTCCCAGCATTATTGTTGTGGGAAAAATAGGAAAAAGGAGTAATATTAGATATGTTTGCCAATTTTATTAAAATTATAAAGCGAGATTAAAAAAAAACTAATAAATAATTGGTCCATGCTTTGTCACGACATAAAATAATTCTCTTTTCAAAACCCCAGACAAAACAGGTCTCAGTACTTTTTTTTTATAAGGTTGTATCTTATTGCTTTGCCAGATTCAAAGCATTCAAGGGTTAAATGAACTCACAAGTCCTGATGTAAAACTTTGACCTCTATTGCAATAAATTACTCAATTGGCCATCATAAAATGTGACAACATATGATAAGAAACATTGGTTAGGACAAAAAATACTATTTCTTCATAGCCTCTCCAATATGGTCTCTATTTCATCACTACTTTATTAACAATTTAATTTAAAAGAAAAGCTTTAGGAAACAGATAAAATGAAGCAATATGAAAGCTTATAATTATTCTTACAATACTAAGACTAGTGGGTATAAACAGGGGAAAGGAGAGAAGCGCACAAAATTCTTAATTATATTTTTTTAATATATTATTAATATTCACCTACTATAAACCATGTTTACATTGCAACATGTAAATGCTTCAACTGTTGGTACCTAAAATGATGCAAGATATGACATGATGAAATCCATAATGTTCAGCATCACAGATTAAAGAAAACCAAAATCTTTTTTGAGCCTTGAATACCTGATGTTGCTATTAAGTATTCAAAATATGAGGGAAAATTAACATGAAATATTTAGGAGGAAAAAATGTATAAATTGCAAGCACAGATACAGTTTTTTTTCTATAAAGGAACATACTAAATTCTTTATTTCTCTTCAATAGCTCAAACAGTTCTAAATTGTTAAATGAGGTGATTGTAGGAATACTGTTGATTCTAAATGCCACACTTGTGCATATTAATAGAGTAGAGGAAATGAAAACAACACAAAACCTACAATATAATGTATAATTCATAGTTCAGACAATGATTACCTGATCACTATTCCAAAGTACATCTCAAGCCATTCAAACTATACTAGATTTTTACTGTTAATCTTGTGACTGCTTTAGTCGAACACAAAAATATATATATTTTGCATTTGTTCAACAGCACCATCCCACTTGCCTCTCATTCTGTGGAGGATAGCAGCATAGTGCAACTATTAATAGAAACCGAACAGAGAATAATAAACTGTTTCTATAGACATTTCCTGGCCATTTGAAACAAATTAAACCTACAAAAAACCCACAATTGCAGCTGAATTATAAAACTCTTTAGGACTACTAAGTCATTTCCCTGGTCAGGCTAGTTTTTGCATCCTCCTATAATATTCAATGATGATAACTCTAGAAATCTGTGGAACACCAATTATAAAGCAATTTCAGGAATTAGCATTGGGTCACATTTTGCTGTTGACAGGCTTAGCAAAGGAGTGATTAGTTAAACCAGTGGTCAAGTGATATGATTCCTCCCCATGTAGATGTTACATTATTTTTTTTTACTTTAGGTAAGGGTGCAATTACATAGTTCAATTCAAAGATTGAGAGGATAGTAGGAAAGTTCCCTTTCAATGATAAAGTAGGTCTTATTTCCTCAACACCATCCTCCCCTTGATCTCTGCAAACAACTGTTCTGAGATTAGAATATCTGGCCTCTCCCTCAAAAACAGACATGCGGTGGGCTAGGGCAAGGCTAAAAAAACTATTACGTGGATCTTCAGCAAATTTTTTGCTAAGAATCCAAATATTCACATTTAAACAATCAGAGCAACTCTCTAACAGCTTCCCTCTGTCCTTAAGGGGTGGGGAAACAGCATTAGTAAACCTGCTGTTTTATAGCAAACAGTACTCTTAAGATTTGTTGAAATTCTTCAGCCATTCTAGTTTTCATTTTACCCATTTTTAAGGATAGGAAACAAAGCATTTGCAAATGTTACAAAGAAAACATGGGTTTTGAGTTAGGTGACACAGAATGGGGGATAGCCTGTATTAAATCCCTTAGATGGTAATGAAAATTGGCCAAACTATCTTGAGAGTAGGGAGAACTTCTGTAAGTGAAAACACAGAGCAGAACATAGACTGGCATTTCATTTGAGTTGGAGAGCTTGTTAAAGATTTTGAAGAGCAGTATCACATGGCCTGAATGATGTAAGCAGAATCTTATGTAAAAGAAGAGAGCAGGGGAAGCTACATATAACTATCTGCCTACCCAAGTCTGAAATATTACAACCACTGCCCTTTGATTCTATCAATTGCAGCAGCTGATTGGGATTCTGCAATGGGTTCAAGGTCTTTCCTAGGAATAAATTTCCATCTCTTTACCTAGAGATCATTAAGTTGAGTAGGGAAGAATAGAAGGAAGGAAGGTGATTTTAATGAATGTATGCAGGATCTGTTGCCTAAACAAAAGGTGAACAATTTGTAAAGTTCAGAACAAGGTAACATTTGGAAGCAGTTTAGGCAGACAGGCCCTTAATTTGCTGAACTACAAGGATGAGGTGGAATAGAATAATCAGACTTGCAAGATTTTTTTATTATGGCCAATCTCAATAAAAATAGCTTTAGTCTGCCTGTGGTATTGAATAGTGGTCTGGTCTACCTAGTGGGGCTGACAGAAAGAGACAATATTTTTCACTAATAATTTTAGAGACTGTAATAGGGAAATGTAAAGATGGAAAAGAT